GACTATAAAGCCTAATAAAAATGATATTAATTTCGAACTTACTAAACAAACTGTTGTAAGTCAAGGACTACCTATACTACTCACAACATATTAACCACCTATCTTAGGAAGCAAGAAGACTGAAATGAAGGCGAAGGGCTGTCTTTCTCTTCCCAATGCAATCTCACACTAAAGGAACATATCAAGAAAGTTTCAAAGTTCTCCTTGCAGATGAAAATATTCAAGATAAAATCTGCAATACAATGGGCAGTATAGGACCTAGCAATGAGAACCAGAGTTAGTACAAGATATGAGGAAAGAGCAGACTCAACTGTGCTAAATTAACACTGCTAGGAAAAAGTGAATCTGGATCCTAACAAAACTTTCTCAGTCTCTGGTGGATCCCAGGCAGAGACCAAAATATGTTCTCAGAACTTCTAGCTTTAATCTGTGAACTGGGTCACCTCTTCAAACATGGTGGTTCTGTAACTTCCCAAAATGCAGTTACTATGGCCCCTGAGAAACAGTATTTCTTAACAAAATACTTGATTATTACAGACCACCCAACTAAAAAATATTTTTTGCATTTTAACCATCTATGTACCCCTTCAAAAACACAAGGAAGAGAAATGTCTAGAAAATTATGCCACAAACAAAATTATTGCATAAAATGTGAACAAAAGTACTCTTCCTTGCCCATTTGTCAAAATGCCTGTATACCCACACACACACACACACACACACACACACACACAAATCTAATTCAGACATTACCAAACAATATACTTATCAGAAAGTCCCATTCAAATTAGGGACAGACTTCTTCCTATGTTCTGTGACTATTATTTGAGCCATGCCTTGTGACCAAAAGTTTACACCTTATAATATCTTGATAAGATTCTAAATTAGGATATAACTACAGTAAGGAGGACACCATCATTCTCAATACAAAATGACCCATTGTTAAGTCAGATGCTCTGTGGATTTTAGTCCCAGATATGGCAATACTAATAGTTTATATCAGACATGTCAAACACAAGGCCCATGGGCCAGGGCCAGCCCGCAAAGGGCCCAGAAATGGCAAGGGACCGGCCCCCGCTCCCCCAGCCCTGGCCCATCCCAACCTGGCTGGGCGCCCTCCCAGTGCACGCACAGGAAACAGTGAGCGCTCGGGGGTTGGTGGTGCGCAGCTGCAACTGCAGCTCATTTGCCTCATCCCATCCCGCCCCTCCCAGCCTTGCCCCGTCACCCCCAGCCATGCCCTGCTTTACTGGGCCTCTCCTCGTCCGGCTCTGCTTTGCCAGGCCTCACCTCACCATGCTCGGCTCCACTTTGCTGGGCCAGGCACCAAAGCGCCACTGAAAATAGTGGAATCTGTGTCCATGTCAGCCATGCTCTCTACAGCGTGCTACAAGCCACGAGGCCTGCAGGCATGAGTGGCAGAACTGGCACAATTGGCACGACAAGCCTCGCGGCATGACAGGTGAGCACATAGCAGGCGCAGACAGAGATTCTGTTTTCGGCAGCACTTCGGTGTCTGGCCGTCTACTTTGGATCAGCTCAGCGCACTGGAAAGAGCATGGCTGATGCGGGCAAGGCAGGTGCGCACACAAACTCCACTGTTTTTGGCGGCATGGTCCCCCGTGCCTTCGCTAAATCAATCACCTGGCTAGAAATGAAGTTTAGCAGGCCGAGTGTACAGGCAGAGGCAGAGGCACGGGGGAAGGCGGGCTGTGTAGATTCCTCATACATGAGACTGGAATTTTTCCCCCTCTGCTGGATTTTCGCTGCCATACTGTTTAACTTTCTTTAAAGATTACTTGATGCAGAACAGGAAGGATCCGCATTCTGCATCAAGTAATCTTTAAAGAAAGTTAAATAGTATGGCAGCAAAAATCTGGCAGCGGGGGAAAAAACCCGTTTTTTAAAGACACCAGACTGGTGCACATTCACGTGTCTCCAATCCCCTTGCCAGATTGGAGTCCTTGAGCCGCTCCTTCCAGCCCATTTCGGAGCCGGTTCAAAAGCAAAGTGAATGGTTCCCATTCCACCCAATTGCTGCAGGGCTTCGTTTCCAAAGACCCTCTGCACAGGCTCCGGACAAAACTGTGGGGCTGAAAAAGCAGCAACAGGAGCAAAGGGCTGTTCAAAGGAGGAGGAAGAAGGAGAAAGTGGGAAAAATCACTACTGAACAGGCGAGGTGCGACAGGTGTCGGGGTGTGATAAGCCTGGCTGTGTGGGCCCTTCAGCGGGGTACATAGGGCAGCTTCCTCCTCCCCCACCTGCCTCGTGGCAGTGCCCCCCTGCCTGCCCCCCTGCCGAGAACCAGTTGTTAAATTATTTGAATCCCACCATTGGATGTATTTAAACATTTGTTTCTTCTGCCTAATTTATTAAATCAACGTCTAATTTGAAATTAAATGTTTCAGAGAAATCCAGGCTGGTTTACAAGAAAACTCTCAAAGACAACTATTGAAAAGCATCACCAGTGCTGCTTAAAATAATATTAAAAGTGTGTATTTTAAGAAAGAAAAATATTAATAGTAATTTACTTAGTGCTGTTTGATCATAAAATGTGTTGTTGTTCTACATATGCCTGGCTGAACAGTGTGTTTGGAGTTGCGGGATGCACTGTTCATATTTTATTTGGGAGAAAGTTCTATAATTGGGGTGCTGTCTCTAAGAAGGCTCTGCTCGTAGCCACTGTTCTATAAACCAAACCAGGGGGACCATCTGGTCTTAATGGATGGTAAATAAAGATGATTAGGGGGTGGAGGCTAAAACATATGACAAATGTTTGTGGGAATTGGGTATGTCTAGCCTAGTGAAAAGGACTAGGGGTCCTGATACTGATAGCAGTATTCCAATATTTGACAGGCTGCCACAGAGAAGAAGGAGTCAACCTATTTTCCAAAGCATCAAAAGGCAATAATAGATGGAAATTAATCAAGAAGAAAACCAGCCTAGAAGTAAGGAGTTGTGAAAACAACTAACCAGTGAAAAGGCTTGCCTTTAGAAGTTGTGGGTGCTCTATCACTGGAGGCTTTTAAGAAGAGATTGGATATTCCATTGTCTGGAATGGTATAGGTCCCCTGCTTGAGCAGGAGGTTGGACTAAAAGACCTCAAAGGTCTCTTCCAACTCTGTTATTCTTTGAGAGAAGCGCTGCCAATCTCTCCCCCTCCCCTCGTCCCTTCCTGGGCACAGAGAGAGGGAAGGAGGGAAGGAAAGAGGGAAACAGGAAGGAAAGAAGGAAATGGGAATGAAAAAGAGAGAGGGAGGGAGGGAGGGAGGGAGAGAGGAAGGAAGGAAGGAAGGAAGGAAGGAAGGAAGGAAGGAAGGAAGGAAGGAAGGAAGGAAGGAAGGAAGGAAGGAAGGAAGGAAGGAAGGAAGGAAGGAAGGAAGGAAAGTGTCAGAGGTCCCAACCACAGACTTGAGCCCAACAGAAAATAGGACGTTGGATTCAAAGGAAATCTGGTTTATTTAGCTACACTCTGGCTTGCGAGCTCAAAGCAAATGCAAACAAAATTGGCACTGGGAGCAACTGCCTTCCAGCGCGCTAAATAGATGGATCCTGCCCGGGGCCTATCCCCACTGACCTAACCAGGAGGAAGATTGGAATGAAAGGGAGGGAGGATCTGAGAGAAGTCCTGCCTTAGCACTTGGCCACCAGCAGCCCTGCTGCCCTTTCGACATCCTCTGGTGGTCTCCCATCCTATTGTTAAGGGTGCTTTGATTACAAAGCTGAGTTGGACTAAAAGATCTCAAAGGTCTCTTCCAACTCTGTTATTCTTTGAGAGAAGCGCTGCCAACCTCTCCCCGTCTCCTTGTCCCTTCGTGAGCACAGAGGGAGGGAGGGAGGGAGGGAGGGAAGGAAGGAAGGAAGGAAGGAGGAAGGAAGGAAGGAAGGAAGGGAGGGAGGGAGGGAGGGAGGAAGGAAGGAAGGAGATTGGAATGAGAGGGAGGGAGTGTCTTAGGGAAGTTCTGCCTTAGCACTTGGCCACTAGCAGACCTGCTACCATTTCGACATCCCTTGGTAGTCTCTCATCCTATTGCTGAGGATGCTTTGGTTACAAAGTTGGGTCTCCTTGCATGGAGAGGGAGTGGGCCTCCCTCTGACCCACGTACTTTGCCCTCGTGCACCCACTATGAACAACCTGGCCAAGGAAAGCGAGCACAGCAGCAGCAGCCTCAAGGAGGCAGTAAGGGCACCCCCTTGGGGAAGTGGGGCTAGGCAAGGCTGGGCTGCGGGGTCCCTGAACTCGAGGACTGGGTGCTTGACCAGGGCTCTGGGAAGCCCATGCCACCATCCAGGGCCCCCCTGCACAGCCTGAGAGGGACGGTGACGCTCCTCCAGTGGACCATGCCCCAGCACTCGCCCTGGTCCCACCCTCCTCCGCCAGAGACCCTAGGATCCAGGCCCGCACAGGCACCCTTGACGTGAGTGATGTCGAGCTGGCCACGTGCATCCAGTAGGCCACGCCCAGCCCAGCCCCCCCGTCCCCCCGAGGGCAACTACAATGCCAATGTGGCCCTCAATGAAATTGAGTTTGGCACCCTCTTCTAATTGCTTTCAATACTATCAATTTTTTTGCCAACTAACTCCCTCTAGTGTCAGAAAAATCAAACAGAATACAAAGGAGACATCCTTACAAGTTGCAAAATACTGGAAATTTGAAAATCAGAGCTGGCTGCTGCTTTAGCAGCCTATGTCCCCAATAACGATGAAATCCAGGAAGAAGCACTTTGAAAGTGATTCTTTAAGCTAGAATTCAAAAACAAAAAAAAGCTATTAGGCAAGTGTAGGAAGTAACTGCTTGAAAAACACTCCATCTTCACCGGCAGATTGGGGTCTGGATGGCATTAGTAGAGAATCTGAATGGTGATTATTGAAAAAAAATCTAATGGGAGGCTGTTTACAAAGATCATGCTACAGAGGGCACCAGTAAGAAGCCACATTCAAAAAGAAAGTTTGAAGAAAAATGGGTATCTTGCCTAATTAAAAAAATGGAATTGGCTTACCATAGTGAAAGGCATAAACTGTAGGATGCTGCCACGGCTTCCCTGTTCCAAGCAATCCACACATTCCTCCATGAACCACTGCACAAACTGAGTATGTGTTCCAGCTGTCTTGGCTCCCAAGATGGAGGAGATCAGCAAGAAGAGGTTGGCTGGGGAGTAGAATGCATATGGTAAAATAAATAGTAATTGTCCTTGGATGTTATACACAGCAGCAGATAATCCTATGAGGCACCAAAGTCAGGACAAATGTTCTACTTTTCTTGACCCAAACTAGATTTTTTTTGTAACTACAAATACTCACATTTTCTTCTTGGCAATATACAGAAGAGGTTTGCCAATGCCTCCTTATGTATTTCTAGTTCTGCTTAGCTTTTCTGAAATCAGCTAAGGGGGCTAGGAGTTTCCACTAGCTGTTCTGTAGTCCCATATTGGTTTCAAAATATTACAACTGGTGTAAGGCCACAACAATGAATTCGGTGCAGAATTTAGATTTAAAACAGCTTTCTTGGATCACAATTCTAGCTCACATAGTATAAGCTTGTGCACACTGACTCATATATAGGTCAGTGAAATGTACTTCTTAAAAATTCTGTTTACAAGCAGTTACTTGACATTCATTACACTGAAGAGTTTCTTTTATTTATTCTTTTTTTGGCACGAGCCCTATGTTAAAGTTCTTAGACACCAACACAAAATGTTAGGTACTAGGATTTTTTTCAATTCGGAGACAAGCTTTTACATACTTTTCAGAAGTAATAGCTTCCAAAGAGAAGATGTTAATAAAATCCATCCATTTACCACAAATCTATTGTGGTAAAACAATCATCCCCTATTTTTGTTAGTTTGGAGGATGGTGGACTGGACAATGAGACTTTTTTTTTTAATTGGTAAAAGCAAAAGTGTAGCTATTATTCATTCTACATACTGTATACTTGAATTTCTAAAAATGCCATTCTGGTGAATCTAAAACTAAACATTTCATTGAATTAAAAGTTTCATAATTGCATTGACAATATCCTCACTTCTTTACTCGGTTTTAGTTTTGTCCTCTCCAAATAAGTATTGGTTTGCATTGCTGATTTTTAAATATCTTGCGATATTTAATACTACAAAATATTTTTCTTTCACTATTCAAATGTATGATCTAACTCTGTGTAAATCAATCATTGAACATTTGAGATATCAGCTTTCCTCATTGCTTTCAGAATTCAAACAAACATATGAACAAAATGCATGCATTTCAAACTCAAAGAGGCTTGATAATAGTTTGATTTTAATTTCATTGTCTTTATAAGAAGAAAGCAGTACTAGTTCTACAGTTTTGCATGCCTATAACAAGGATGAATGGAGGACTGTAAAACTGAATGGTTAGGGTAAGTGGATAATTTTTGTTAACACCCTAAAGCTTACTTGAAGGACTTAGCTTACAGTATAGGAAACCCTTGTCCTTGACCAAAAAATTCTGTTGACCAGCACAGCTTGCCATGTGATTTGGAAAACTGTACAGTATTGATTTTCACCTCAATAATTAGGAAGAAGATACCACAAAATTCTTTGCTGCACTTTGCCATGGAATATCTAGGTTATTGTTCTAGAAACTATTTCTTTGTTTAATTCTAGGTTGAAATGGCACCTTTCAAACTGCTTTATGCAATTGATTATAACTTTTTTGGTATTTAGATATCACACAGATTTTGCTATTGTGCATGTAATGCTTTCTTTACACTTTTCTGGTCTTGGACTGAAATGAAATATTTGAGATCTCTCTAACAAAGATCCTAGCTATCTCTTTGTTTGGCAAGCTCCTGCATAATATGGGCTGCTGGCCAAAGTAATCTTTTGGTTTCCTTGGGGGAATTTTATTCCCAATACTTAGTAAAAGCTGAAGAGCTTACCAAGAACTCTGTTGAGGGGATCACGCATGCTGACTGTGTGGAGTTGCGAGGCAGAAAGCGAAGTGCTCATTGTGCGGTCTGCTGAAAAAAAAGAGAAACAATCTCATTTCCATAACTAGCAACTCACCTATGAAGACACAGACTAAACAAGAAAGACTTTTCTATCAGATCATGGTTACTCAGTGTAACGCCCATATGTTTCTACAGGCCTGTCAGCACTCTGCCAGCCAGAACTTTGTTAAATGCTTTTAATTGTAATAATGTGTATGTGTTAGCATCAAGCACAATTTTTATAAATAAAATATCTAAGCCTCATTAAGGCTTATAAGCACTTTAAAAAATGACATGGCTGCAACCTAGTGTTTTGCTTATAAATATGCTCACGAAAAAGATACGAGTCACTTACGGTGGTCAAGAGCATACTAGATGGAATAGTATCTGGCAAGAACCCCTTTCATAAATTTGTCTTCTAATGAGTCGGTTTTTACAACCTCCAACCATTTTGTGACAGCACCTACTACATTCCTTCTAAAGTCTACATGCGCCTATCAGTCAGAGATTTGCCTAAACAGAACTTCCTGACACTTCCCCTTTTGTTGCAATCAATCACAGAGGCTTCAATGGTCAAAATAGGTTGATGCTGGATTTCTGTTTTATCACTACTGAACAAATCAATTTAATTAAGTAGACTGTCATTCTGAATGCCTGATGGTATTATTCCACTCAGTTTTAACAGCAGTATTAAAATATTTCATAGAGCTCTGCTGGAACCTTCAGAAGTAAACTCCACCATCAGAGAAGCTTGCACAGCAGGCTTCATAACAATGGAGATAATAACACTGATAAATCTTTAGGGATTATCAGGAGAATTACAGAGAAGCTGATATGTGAAAAAGTTTAAACACTTAAAAGTATTATATGAATCAGTCTTTGCCAAATGATTGTCCTCTAGATATGCCAGATTACAATTCCCAAGACTAACAGGTGATTATGAATTATGAGAATTGTAGCCCAGAAGTTTTAGAGAGCACTAGCTTGGGAAAGACCAATATAAATGCAAAATATTATCATGATCATTGTTATGGCTGCTGTATGTTATCAGAGTGAGTCTAGACAAGGCTACAACTGGCTTTTCTGCTACTCCTGTCTGTCTCCTTCTCTAACATCTAATTTTGAAGTGGTTCACAAATTAAGCTAAGGTGAACCATTTCCATTTAGGCCATTTTCTTGGTAGATCAGCTTCAGAGAATAGACCTAACTAGTTACTTTCCTTTCTAATTCCAATGCTGTCATGACTGACACCCCCCCTTTCCCCATTTACTCTTGGTTATAGAGTAAAAAAAAAATAGAGCTGTTGTCTTTTGTTTTCTCATATTAAATTAGTGTGACTATCTATCACAGCAGAAAAGAAAGAGGAATCTTAAACCACTTCAATGAAAAGAAGAATCAGCACATTAAAAACTCCCAAATTGCAAAGTTACAGAGGAAAAAGTGAAATCACAAGAAAGCATAATGAAATAAGAGGAAATCGCAATTACTATGACAACAACAAAAATTGGGCAAGAGTCCAAGGTGATGAACAATCATATTCTTCATCTCCATGAAGTTCTGACTAATGCTATAAATGTCTTGCTGTCACAGCAATTTTTCATTTGATCTCTTTTCCTGATTCTCTTTTCATAACTGAGGTAGTAGAGGAAGGCAGCCCTTCTTGCTTTCATTTGGCAGTCCAATGAACAATATGTTTATACCTTAATTCTAACATGTCAACTCTAACAAGTACAATTGTAATGGATTTTGATACAGTCAAGAGTTGAATACGTCATGCAGCAATGATCAGAACACAATTAGGGAGCAACAGTAGGGAAAAGGCTGTTTATTATTTATTTCTATTTTTTAAAATAATTTATTTCAAATTGTTACCTTTCACTAACAAAGCATGGAAGGACCAAGGTGAGACATTACAAAGACATTACAAAGAGTGGTGAGCACAGCACAAAACATCGTGGGCTGTCCCCTGATACCACTAGATGACATCGCCAGGGCCCGCTGCCTTAGAAGAGTGAGGAAAATCCTGAGGGACGACTCACATCCTGGTCGGCACTTCTTTACCCTCCTACCATTGGGTAGGAGATATAGAAGCATAGCCAGCCGCACCAACAGGCTGAAGAACAGTTTCTACCCATGGGCAGTCAGACTTTTGAATGGGAAATAACTCCATGTATGATAGACTGCGGGGCTGGTGCGTTGTGCAATAAGTTCACATAGTGCAATAAGACTGTGTGTTTGTTGTCACTGTGAGTTGTCGGGGTGTGTGTGCAATCATTGTACACATGTTGTACTCTGATAATAAAGGTTGATTTGAGTAATCCTCCAAAATATATTTTATTTATTGAGGTAATGCAAGTACAGGTAGTCCTCAGTTAATGATCATTTGTTTAACAATCATTCAAAGTTATAATGGCACTGAAATAGGAAACACACCTATTTTTTGAACTTGTGGCTGTTGCAGTGTTCTACAACTGTCACTGCTGGCTTCCAACAAGCAAACTCAGTAAGGAAGCTGATAGGAGGTCAAAAATGGCAATCTCATGACATCACACACCTAGAATTGCCAGAACTGCTGTGTTAACTTGGTACAATTACATTATGTCATTCTAAAGCTGCATTGGTTAGCAATTAACAATATTAACTGAGGACTATCTATATTACATAGTTGGCTATCTAATCCCCATCAATACTCAATAACAAGCTAGCAGTTTGTGCCATAAAATGTTTCTGTTTTGTTAAATAGGATGATGGAGATAGCTTCATTGTAATCCAACCAAGGCCTAGCGTCTCCTCCAGAGATTAATCTTCCTATGTCCCAGAACCTCTCAAACCACGATGATCTGGATATCCAGATAGATTGAACAGGCCTAAGTAATTAGTATAGTAAGATGGCTAAGGCAATTGACTGATCCCAGGGAGACTCAATTCCTCAGCCACAAAAACTCACTGGGTAACTTTCAGTCAATCAATCAGTCAGTCTCAGTCTTTCTCTCTCCAACCCCTCACAGGGTTGCTATGGGGAAAAGGGGGAGGGGGAGCACTATTGCATTACTGACAGAAAGATGGAATTTAAATCTAAAAATAAGCAAATGTTGATTGAATTGAGAAGCAAACCAAAGCTACTATGCCTAGCCCAGTAATTATTGCAAACAGTGGGATATTAATGTAATTTCTTTAATAAATACTCCATCAGTACCTTTTTCAAAACTATGCAGACTGTGCATCAAAGAAGTATTAACCACTTTTGAGATTTGTATCGCTGAACCAGAAATGGCAGATTTCAACATCCAGGATGTGCAAGGATCTGGAAAACACACTGTGGTGTTCTCTCTAAGCATTGGGATGTGTGGGGGAGAGACAACAAGCAAGCTGAACAAGGCAAATTCCAGAAAAGGTTCCTCACCATGATTCCACTTACTGGGGCTAGACAGAACACTGGTGTCTTCCTCGTTGGAGCTGAGCAGGCGCATGAGTTTCGATGGCTGAGTGTCATCCAGTGGAAAAAGACTGATGTAATCCTGGAAGAGGATGACCCCCAAGACCAAACTGCAGTTACTGTTAACAAAATGCAAACCAAAGCAGGCATTCTGGGCCTCATCCTCCCATTCAAGTATGTACTTGTAGTAAAAACTCAAAAATTCCATGTCAAGCAGGCAAATTAAGGATGATTCACACACTATGTTTTGATACTTCCTTCTTTTGCAATGCGTGAAGAGAAGGAATAGAAAGCCAGTAAAAGTATAAGACAAAAAGAAATGTATGATAGTTAAGAGTTGTGGCACACAAGTCTCTGATTCAAAGACCACTGCTTGCCCAAACACTCCTTCTGCAAATATGTGAACATAATACTGACTTATCTTGCAGGACAGAGATAAGTGGAAATTGATCTAATGTATAATGGTAATTAAAACTAGTTATTACTAGTTGTTACTAAACTATAACTCATAATAGCCCTAGTCAGCATCGCTAATGAAGAGAGATGTTGGGGATGTAGTTCAGCAATATCTGAAAAGCCTTAGTTTTTACAGGTAATTGTCAACTTACCATCATTCATTTAATGACTGTTTGAAGTTAATAAGATCTTGGAAAGAGCAGTGTATGGCCTGTAAAGGACTTTTGGCTGTCATAAAATGTTGCATTTTACCCCCAGCATATCCCTGCATTTTTGGCATTTGGCAACCAACTTGCATTTACGACTGATTGCAGAGTCTCAGTCACGTGATGCGATTTGCAACATTTTTTGCCACTTTGATTTGATTATTTACTGTGAGATTCTCTTAATGACCCTAGGATTCAGATTTATAGCTACAATTCACTTAGTGATTGTCTTAAAAGCAGTAAAAACAATGGATCCGGTCACATAGGTGCCTCAACTTACAACTGCAATGACTTATGATCAAAATTCCAGTCACAATTGTGGTTGTAAGTCAAAGACTACCTATATATCAGGAACAAGGATTCTAACATTACAATTACAAGGGCTCTACAATAGCTGGGCTTGATTCTAAGCTGAGGGAGGTGACATCTCTGTTCTCAACAATCATGGAGACTTTCATGGGCACAAACCCAGTCAAACTCACTCTCTAATCACTTTGGGAAATGTTCAATGTAACTATTTTATCGGATATTAGAGAGCTTCAAATGGCAGGCTTAATTTGACACCTGGTGAGGACAAATGTATACTTCCCTGTTGCTTTTACATACTAATTCTGCTACAACATATAATATTGCCAATATTAAAATGTCAGAAGATGACCTTTACCTAAAATCAGTTTTAAACCACCTACCTCTCTATTATAGAGTATTTTATGATAGGTTTAGTTTACCATACTTTTTATGCCTACTGATTGCTTTTACTCATTTTTAGATTTTTAGTTTTTGTATCTTTTGGCTTTGCATATATATTTTTATATTTTTATTATATGTATTATGCTTTTTAATTCTCTGTGCTTTTTATGCTGGACTTTGATCATAATAAAGGTTTTATTTGATTTGATAAAGTCTCAAAAATTTAAAACAACATACAACTGGCCAAAAGCAGAAAAAATATTTTGATTTAAGAGAGTTTTGAATGGATCAGTAGATTGGAGAGATTTGGAATTGGTTATTTTTGATATAAGACTTGAGAAACATGTATATAATCAATATACTCCTGGGAAACAACTGAAATGGAACTAAGCCCATATTAGAAACTGAGGCTTGATGAAGGGATGGTGAGAACAAGAAATTCTGCATGATGCCTCTATGTAGGAAGAAAAGAATCTGGATATAGAACATCTCCAAGAAGAAATCCTCTAATGATGCTACTTCATGCAGTTTGCAAAATGGGCTGATGAAAGCTCTGAAAACTTCTTTTAAATATCAAAGTGTAATGAAAGATCAAATCCTGCGATGCCACATAAACGCTTGTAAAGTTGGATATTTGAACATGGATATTTGGTAACTTCTAGCAGACTTTTTGATGAACTAGGATTGAAAAGATGATTTTTGGATTAAGTATAGATAAAAATTAGGCTATAAGGAGAAGAAATTTTTATCTGTAACTTTACAACAAGGTCAAGAGTTAGTATAATAACATCACAACATATGAATGAACGTGATTTTACCTTTTTTTCTCATAGACATGAGTCTTTTTCAAGGATTGATTTTGTTTTGACATCGACTGACTTGCTTACTGACTGTAATAAAACTAAAATCTTCCCCAGAACTTTGACTGATCATAGTATGGTGTGGATAGAGATTGGTCAACAAAGAAAAAGGAAATCTTGGAGAATAAATGAAAATCTGTTTAATCATGAGGATAAAGTTAAAGCTTTGAAGGAATGTATGGAAGAGTTTTTTCAAATTAATCTGAATAAAGAAACCCCTATAAATATTGTTTGGGATGCCAGTAAAGCTTATCTGAGGGGAATATTAATTGCTATGAATAATGCACACAAACGTAAGCAACTACAGATTAGATTAAACTTGGAAAAAGAAATTGGGATTAAAGAAAAATTACTACTGCAACGACCAACAGATACCAACTTAAAAACCTCTATTAAAATGCTTAAAGATCAATTTAACTTCTTAATTGCTGACCAGGTGGCCACCAACTTGAAGTATATTAAACATAATACATTTGCTAATGCAAATAAACCGGGGAGATGATTGGCCTACCAAATACGCAAGAGACAAAAAGCTAGACTTATATCTAAAATTTTGGTCAAGGATCGTGAGATTTACCAACAAGAACTGATTAAAAAGGCATTTACTGAATTTTACTCGCATTTATATTCCTCAGAGACTATAAAGAGTGAAGATATTGATAAATACTTACAATCCTCATCTATATATAAACTTACATTGGATCAACAGAAGCTTATGAATGAAGAGATTACCACAGATGAAATTTTAAATGCAATTAAACAATTGAAAGCTGGTAAAGCCCCTGGCACAGATGGTCTGACAGCAATTTATTATAAGTCATTGTCAGCTGTAATGTTACAACCTTTAAAAATTTTATTTAATAGAATTATGTTGGGAGAACAAATACCACAATCTTGGACAAGAGCTTTTATATCTTTGATACCGAAGGATGATAAAGAAATTTTGGAACTTAAAGATTACAGACCTATTTCTTTATTGAATGTGGATTATAAAATTTTTGCAAAAATTTTGGCTAATAGAATGATGCAGATATTGCAACACTATATACATGATGATCAAA